GGGAATTGCCCTTATAGGGAGTTTTTCCGAACCCAGCTTAAAATAAACCCTATTTAATTCTTCTGTATTAAATAGGGGAACTTGTCGGCAAATAAAACGGTTTCGCAGACCCAAACGGATGTCATATCTTTCTTAGTTTATTTGATCGAGTCTCACCCTCAAGTCTTGTGTTTATCCCTTGGGGTAGATACAGGATTTGAGGTTGAGTGCTCTTTCATTTAAACTATGGAAAATATGAGGTCAGTTTGATTTCATATTCTTCTAAAATTGTATATGTATATATATATACGTAAATTAAAAAGTCCTTCCGAAGCGGGCGACGGGATTTCGATTCCGGCGACCGACAGCTTCTTACGGGCGACCCCCAAACATTAAATTTTTTTCCCCTTTTAAGCGCCGACATACTACCAAAATACCACCAAGTACCACCAATCCACATATGCGGATTCCACATGTAATATTTGCTACATAAATGCATCATCTTGTGCCTCACAATGTATAATCAGCTATGCACAAGGACAATTTAATGATTTAGGCTCATGCAGGGCTCAAACAATAAAGGTATCTTTTCAATTGAGATATCTACATTAACAACAAATAAAAAAACGAATAAACAAAATAGTTGTACCTCATTGCCAGACTCTCCATTTTCAAGGGGTAAATCATCATCCATTTTCATATTTTTGAAAGATTCCACAAGATTGACATTCAAATTGTCAACATGACTCAAGTATTCCTCAGCAGGAGGATAGGTACCCCTACCATGCATTTAAAGAAAAATAAATCAGTACTGAAACAAAAAACAAATGATAAAAAATAATATTAACAGATCATAAAGTGTCCAACCAATCCAATTATAGAGTGCAACAAAAGGGAAATCATTCTATTATAAAATAATCTGATTCTAAGAATCCTTCAGTCTTCAAACAATCATTCTATTTACAAACTTGAATATAGTTAAATTTTTTTTAAACAAGCAAAGGCCTTCTAATAAACTAGCTAGCATAACTGGCAGAAACAAGGTTCCTAACAAGAATATTATTGATTTCGTAGTGATTTAACTGGAAGATTAAGAGATAAAGAGATGGCATAACTTCTAGGAGATCAAATTTCTGTGATTCAAAAAACTAATACAATCTTACTAGAGTTGAAATAAAACTTTCGACCTCCAACATCCATAAGCAAAAGGTTAATAAATCAAACAAAATGTTACATCAAATGTCAAGCAAATGCTATTTGCTTTTCTAGAAATTAATTGCCTTATTATGACATATAAAGTGAACCATCAAGCGGCATTCTAATAAAACCAAACAATGCAGGACATATAAAACCCTGCATGGTTAAAGTGTTTTTGAGCGAGTCACGGGAGACTGACATGCACTACAAAATGTAAATGAAAATAATACAATGCAAAATTCAAGGTAGCCTCCAAGGTTATAAAGCATGTGAACAGGTTAAATTCTGTTTTTTGTATGCATGAAATGGCTACAACAAGAAGTCTTATATTCCATCATGTCAACAGGATAATGAGAATAAACCCCATAAATTTAAATTGGGCAAATTTCAGGCACCTTGTCAGAGTAAGACTTGACTCAACTGCAAGAGCAACCTGCCAGTCCTCAAAAAGATTGGGGTAATCAGCAGGATCAGCCAATGACTCAGCTGCTTTGGGATTGACCTTCAGAGACAAGAATGAACAACTGAGACAATAACCTTATTCAAGCGTAAAAAGAAATAGAGAAAAAGAAAAAAAATAGAAAAAAAAACAAAAGAGAAACCTTATTAAGATCATTTTTCCAAATTTCTACAATCTCAGATACTTTGCTTGGTAGATATGATCGTGCCATCAATGCAGCCTCTGGAATCCGATTACTGAAAAGGAATGTACTCGTAGAAATGTTGGTTACATCCCAAAATCACAAAACATTAAAAAAAAATTTAATTTGAACTAAAAACTAGGCCAACTACCTCTCAATTAATAGCCAAATACACTCTTCCAGTTTTCCTAGCATAAATAGACAAAGGAAGGCAACATTGTTCTTTCCACGTTTTTTAGCAAGTGAAGCAAGTTTTGTTATTCCTTCTGCGTCTCCAAGTGATGAGTAAAGAAGCAATAAGCCACTCAGATCCATTGCATTAGACAAGCATTCCTCAGCCAATTCTAACTGCCAAATAAAAATAGAAATAAAAAGAAACAAATCTTTTGTTAGACAAGCAATCCTCTAATGGCATACTAAGCAAATGCAATAAGCTTTATCAACAATTTTACAGAACAAGAAATTAAAAAAAAAAGTAACTATAAATGCTAGTAAAGATAGATTATCTTGCTTGTATAAGGCTTTCTCAATAAAATTAAGGTAGAATACAAAGTCCAACAACATAGCATACGTATCTCAAAAGTGCCCATAATCATGATAAATTAACCAATTTCACCATGGAATCCATGGAACTGTTCGAAGCCATTCCCACATTAATATTAAATTTGCTGAATCTCAAACAATAAAGCCTCATTTGGTAATGGTTTTTCAACTGCTTTCCCCTTCAAAAACTTCGTATCAAATAATTTTGATTTGTGTGAAACATGTGTCAAAAAGCATCCTGCATGGTATCATAACTAAATGAAACACTTGCAGAACAATTTTTCAACTCAATGATTGAAGTGGCGCCTTAACTTCTCACAGCAATAGAAAAATATTACCAAAAGAAACCTAAATCTAAATTTCTTCATACTGAATTAAATCAACTGATTAATAGATATGTTAGATCTAATTTAAGTTATGTATCTAATTTAAATCAACTGAAAATCTACAACCTTTCCAGATGACATCGCTAGCTTGCCCAACTCTTTCCATTTTGATTCACTCTGAGCTTCAATAGCAATGGCCTGACATGTAAATTAGATCAAAATGAGAACCAATAGGAGAGAGACAAAAGCAAACTAAAAAACATAAAGGTTACATCAACACAACCTTTGCAATATCAAGTCGTCCAAGCTGTATTGCCAGATCAAATTTGTAATTGGCATCTGTGGCTACTTCCAAAGCATCTTCCTTCATTCCCCGAGACTCCAAGAAATGAGCAACACTAGGTGAGAGAAGGATTATTCAGTACAAAAACAATCCCAACTTAAAATAAAAGGGCCTCGATGTGAGAAAAAGGATACTTTGAAATTTTACAAAGAAAATATTTCCATATTTTATAAAGTTTCTTCAATAATTAAAGAAAAAATTATAACAGGTACACAAGGCTGTTGTCAACTGCAGGCCTACAGAGAAGTTCCATAGAGCCTCACCAAAGCATTAATTGAAAGGCTATTTCAATTTCAAACCAATAATCACCTCTAGGTCAAAAATGATGGCAATCATACCGTAACACTTGAAGCCCCCACTTGCTTTGTTATTAGTATCATTTGGCTCGTCTTCTTAAACATAAACAGTAGCGAGCTTGTATGGAATCTAAATTACATTTCCGTATTATTCAAAAATGTATAATGCACATCAGCTATGGCTGCTATTAAATAGGATCAATAATAATTACAAAGAAATTTACAAGTAAATAATTTATATATAATTACATACTTAGCTTCTACATAAAATCATTAAAAAACCATGTATAAAAAAACATGAATGCATTGTACAGAAAATATCCAGCAAACAATGAGCAATTTACAAAATACTAAAATCTAAAAATTAAAATAATAACAATAAAAAATTGTCATGACAAAGAATTAAAGAGTTCAAATAAAGCTCGCAGGAAATTAAAAACATGTTTCAGATTAATGACACCATTTGGTAGCTTTGAATAGATTTCAGGGTCCTTCAAAACCTTTATGAGAGAAATGATGTACCTGTTCAAATGTTCATTGGGAATCGATGGTAGCACTTCAGCTGCGCGATTGAAATCTCCACGCATAACCAGGGTTTTATACTCAATCAAACTAAGGAGTAATGAGTACCCAATGATACTGCAGAAAAAAATAGGTAAAACCAAATAAATGGAAATGATTAAGGCTATAAAGAATATATCCCATGTGAGCATTTCAGCAAACTTACTTGAATTCCTTATCAATGAGATACACCTTACTCTGATTGGCTAGATATCCAAGTAAATACATAGGCCGGTCCAAGTGAAACATTGTTGTAACCTACGGTTGACAAAGAACTCAAACAACCATAAGTTATGTGAGATGAGTAGAGTCCCAAAATAGTCTCTTTACTATTTACATGGGGCAATTTAGTCCCGGAGTTCATAAAACGTCAATCTAATTAGATATCAGCCGAAACAATCCCCAATAAATACTATTTTAGCCCCCTTTGAAAATGTTTGTAAACTAAATTGACCACTCTGAGACTAAAATGAACGCTGACAAAAAAGTCAGGGGAACATTTTAACACTTTATACGAGAAGATAGAAAATAGAAGTAGAAATCACTATATAATGAATATTTTAAGGCATACCTCTCCACCAACACAATAATTCAGTCTCCAGGAATAGTTATTATAGATGAAACAATCTCCAACCCAGATACCAGTTCGAACCCTCTCATTTATTTGATGCTGAAGTTCAAAAGCATCCTCAACGCCTTGGTCGTCTGCAGATGCTCCACTATCCAGATAAGAAGAAACTACTTCTCTCTGTGAAAAAAATAAAATAAATTAAAATCAAATACATAAAAGCACAACACAAAATCTAATAGCATGTGCACGTGCAAAATTAAAAAGCAGACTAAAGAAAAAGAATATTACATCATTAAAGCAGGTGAAGAAAGCAGATTAAAACAACTGGTATGTAAACAAAAAAAGAGGCATTTACATACTATGTATTTAGATATCTAATACTTAAACTTTGCTTTCACATTTATGCCACCCAAATCATTCATTACATAAAAAATACCACCATTTTAACTTTTAAAAGGTGAGATGCACCTTTTCGAGAATAGATAAGGTAGCATGTATTTAAAAATTGAACTTTAGATGTTAAATATGTAAATACATAGGAATTGACTGGCATGCATTTAAATCTTGCAAAAAAGAAAAAAAGACGAACAACCAGTGAACTAACATTGTACTTCAGAATATAGAATGATGTGTCACTTGCAATGGCAATCAGATCACCACTATCTGCCCAATAAAGATTCTGGAACATAAAAAATGATAAGCAAAAAATAGTAGATCAAGAAATTTAAGGCATATAAAAGAGAAAACATTTCAAAGATCAAACCAACCTTAACATTAACATCAATACGACGTATCAGTCTGCACTCTGACCAATCATAAAAACAAATAAAATCGTTAGAACACATTGCCAGTAGAGTTCCCCCAAAAATACGCTCAGCTGAAAAGGTTGGTCGTATGCTCTTCTTCTCCTGGATGCAACACAGCCTTCAGCAACATGTTAACAGAAAATACAAAAGAAAGAAATCCATAATTGTCAAGTTGAAAGATGTTTCACATATATAACAAGTCACTTTTGCAATTTCCAATCAATGAAACTAATTTAGTTTGAAAACTCGTGATGTCAACGGTGACATGATCATGAACATTCATTTCAAAGAGAGATCCAACTAGAAATCTCTAACAAAAGTTAAATTTTAAATTAATTCCAAAATAAAACCATAACAAAAAACAACAATGCTGAAAAATATGCATCAAATTTTACATGACAAGACAAAATTTCTTAAAACACAGCAAAAATCAATAATTTAAAAATCACCTAAATAAAGCAAAGGTAAAAGAAAGCTTTCTATAAGTTTATGATGATGGTTGTTATTAAACTGTGTATCTGAAATTTTGGATGATCAGTCAAATTCACATAAAAAATCCTTAAGAAAATCGAAAGGGTGGTGGAATCAATGAAAAGAACTCTTAAATATTTAGTCAAAAAAATTTTGGCAACACCAAAGAGCCTTAAAACTAACAGTTTTGAAAACAACAGCTAAAGCAAATTTTGACGAGACCTAAGTTCATAGTTTATAAACATTAGTTTTGAAAATCAAGCCCACTGAACTGAGCAAAAGACAAACCTGGAAATTTTTACCAAAAATCTTTATTTTTGATGTGCTCTCTCGCACTGCATATTCGCCCTCAGAAGACCAACAAAATTCCAAAGCAGAACCAAAGGATCTATTTCTCCAAGCCAAAGCAGTATAAATAATATATTCACCATCTCCGCAAACAACAACAAATCTTCCATTTGGATTATGCTTCAAACTCTACAAGAATAAAATTAGCCAGCTTTAGTTGATTTTTGAAATAACGAGTAATGCAAGTAACATTTCAATAGTTAATTAATTATACGAGGAAAAGGGAAATTCTGAAGAATATACAAGGGATCTATTTCACCTAGCCAAAAAAACTATAAATAATATATTTACCACTAAACAGATAAAAACAAATCTACTATTTGGAATATGCTTCAATTTATAAACAAAAAAAAAAAGGAAGCCATAGTTTTGAATGAAAAAAAAAAAAACAGAGTGATGTTAATTACATCTCAAAAGTTATTTAAAGTGGGGGGAGGTTCGTAATTGACAGGTAAAACACTGAACTGCAAAAGCACCGGCTAACAGGAAGGTTTCTGTCAAGGAAAGCTAATTTATTGATAAGCGGATAAGAATGTGCTGCATGACAGAAATAAGAACTATCTTCGGAACACTCTGTTATACTATATTTAATTGAAAATCTTCAGTCAAGCTTTGCGTATGGGTAGTGCTGGAGGCAACAAATATGGAATTCACCCAAAGAACAACTTAAATTTTTTTCCCAACACAAGCATATCCGATCACCAAGTAAAAATTTGTAATGCATGTGCATCAACTAACAAAAAGTTTCCTGATATGAAAAACTAGAATTTTGGACAAAAACCTGCAGCATTACAAGAAAACATTTTTGCAGCACTAGGCTATCCTAAACTTAGCCTACGTATCCTCAGTCTAACTTTATGGAAGAATTAAATTAAGTTCAATTAATGTTCACATTAAAGTAAATGCCAGTGGAAAGAAATATCAAATCTCCAAGAAGAAGAATTTATTTTAGAAGTACTTCAGTAATACAAAGGAATCAATGCATTGCATTGAATAACAATCCAAAAAGAGAGATTATCCTAGTTATAGCTACGAATCAGACTTCATGATTTTTAATAAATAAACAAATTTAAATATCTTAACTAAAATAATTGTCACATGATTCATAGTTAGCCACGGGACAGCATAAACCTTCGAAAAACTAAATAAACTCTTGTAATTATCACGTGTCTAATAAGAAAATCAATCTAGGTCTCACCGAATGAAGGCATATCACTAGATAAAGAGGAGCAATGAGAAATATAAATTGATCATTGCTTAAATCAATAAATGAACTGTGTATAGCCTTGCCATGAAATCAAATTCCAGCCACTAGATTGCATCAATTTCACAGTAGTTTTTGAGGAAATCCACATAATTTCATGATAAACAGAAGAACAAAAAGAAGAGAATATAGCATGATAGTTCAGCAAAAATTTCTGCACCTACTTGGGGGTAAAGGTCACAGCTTCCCAACTCCTTGACAGCCAAAGGAAGTCTTTCTCCGTCAATAACCTGACAGGTGGATTTACTTGTAACTATTTTTAAATGACTCAAAAAGCTAAGGAAGATTTACATACATACCTCTCAATTCCTATGAATTTACCTATTTAACACCCAAGCTACAATTTTTACTTATATGCCACCTCAACCATATGTGAAAAGGTGTACTTCATTTTTTTAAAGTTAAAATGGTGGTATTTATTATGTGATATGAATAATTTGGGTGGCATAGATGTAAAAATTAAAGTTTAGGTGTTGGATATGTAAATTCAAAAGAATTGGGTTGTAGGTATGTAGATGCCCGACAAGATAATGGCTACAGCAGCTAGGTAAAATCTCTAAGCACTGTACCTCGATATCTGATCCAACACTCTTAATATTCACAGTTTGAATTTCATTATGCTTGGCCCATATAACCTTCCCACTGCTGTCCATACTGGCAACTGGTACCTCCCGGCCAAGTTTTATCATGATACTTCCTTCATCATACCCAATGACCACTCTGCAAGCACAAACAACAGCATAAAGAAGAAAATGAAGCACTAAAACTTTCATTCAACAAATTCATTGCATAAGAAATCCATCTAAGGTAACTTTTAGTCACGTTCATTTATCCATGAATGAAACCATATTAAATGGACTCATTGAGGTTAAGCAATTGAATGATAATTTCAAATTTTAAAAAGGAGAACCGAGAACTTCATACATTTACCTCCTCGATCCTTTCATGTATCCAATTGCCCAAACCCGCTCCAAGCCATAGTTTAGTGTGTTCTCGAGCCTGAAAAGAAATTCAAAAAGGTAAGTTCCTGAGGATCAAATCTCTGGTTTGAAACGACAATCAAGGAATTCTTCTACATGAGACAAAAGTGCACGTGGAATGACTGCAATTCGTAAAAACTGAATGGTTCAGATGCCATCAATGACAGATGGCACAGCTCAAAGATTAGTAAAATTCTCCACAAAAAATGGCGCTATTGGCTACCTTAGTTTTAGAGTTTGTACCATTAAGATGGATGGAAGGATGGAAGGACGGATGGATGGATGGAATTTAATTTACACAAACAAGTAAAATGAAACAAAATAAGGCATCAAAATGAAAAAAATGTGAGGAGAGTCAATTTAGGGCTTTAGCGAGGACAAGCAGCAAGCCACCGACAGAACAAAGAGCAGTGATATAGTCCGGCAAAGCTAAGCGAGTGGACATCGGTGATGAGAGGAAAGAGAGGGAGACAAATACAGTTTGGCACATAACTTCAATGTTTCTATGAGCCTGTAGAAGATAAAACAAAGACTACACCTTTAGGAGATTAAAATACAAATAATATTTTATTTTTCTTTTTATTAAGATAAATAAGAAAATTATTTATAGCAAGTTAAATTTTATTATGTTATATATTTATTGTTTTATAATTTAACTTAATTTAAGTTCAACCTTGGAGCTATCACCTAGTTAATAGGGTATTAAAAGTAAACCCAAAGAGCGCATAACAGAGCCTCAACCTGCACAACAACTGATTAGCTTGGTACAATTCTACTTAGATTCGCCATCCCCAAAAATGAATTGTATAACATTAGACTATATAAGATATTTGTAATAGTTTCAGTTTAATATAAAAAAAATCAGAAATGCGATGACAAAAAACGCATACAAAACAAATAAATGCAGATGTGTTGGCACATAAGTCATTTTGCTAGGTATATAAATGCATGTTGCATGAAAATATAAGAATGTATACAGACAATCAAAAGAGCCATAAGCAGCCATACAAAAATATTTATTTTCTGAAAAAAATTAACTTCTAGTGGATTATATATTTTTAAGGTCTTTGATTCTGTCCCATACAATTTAAAGCTCACCTGTAAGTTGTTGCATGCCATATCCGAATAGTTCCATCCTCCGACCCAGTTATTATTATGGGAAGCTCTGGGTGAAAACAGACTGAGGAAACATTGTGTGTATGCCCTTCTAGTGTCTGGACACAGCTCTTGGTTTGGTAGTCCCAGACCTGATTTCATGCAGAAAACTTAAAATAAAGCAGAAGAAAAGGCACAAACATAAAAGAAATTAAAGAAAATTGCAAACCTTAGCTGTTTGATCATCAGAACCAGTAATAAGATAAGGCCTATCACCCCCAGTAAAGTAGTCAACACAATTTACTCCCTTCATATGAGCATCCAATGTAAAATTCGGATCAGGAGATCCGAGATTCCATATCTGCAATTTTCATCAGATGTCAAAATTTGAAATACTTGAACACGCAAATAATGATGAGAAATTTGAAAAGTTCATTCGCAACATGAGCACCTTTATTGTACGATCAAGTGAGGCACTAGCGAAAGTATTTGTGTCTTTTGGATTAATCGTGACTTGCATAATATAGTGGGAGTGTCCCTCAAAAATCTGAGTGCACATCCATCCCTTCTCCCAATCCCAAAGTTTTATTAACATGTCGTCGGATGATGACAGTACATATGGAAGTGTTGGATGAACGGCCACACATCTGATGTAATCCGTGTGCGCCTCAAAAACTTTGACTTTGTCCATTGTATTATAATTATAAACACGAATGAACATGTCATCTGCTCCAGCTACAACCCACTGCTTGCGAGCTATAAATTTTGCTGATCGAACTGACAAATTTATGATACAAATTTTAGAATTCCCTGATAACGCTTGCATACATACCACACAATACTTATGCATTTATATCTATAACAACTAAAGTTTGATATTTATATTTATAACAACTTGGCATTAAAAATCTATGCTTGAAAAGGTGTATTTCACTTTTAAAAAGTTAGTGATACCGGTAACTCAGATATGACGTGAAAGATTTGGGAGTTATGTATGTAAATATAAAATTTTAGGTTTTAGACATGTAAATATATAAGAATTCTGTGGTATGTCTGTAAATGCCCCAAAAACCAAATAAGAAAAAGTCAAGATAAATGCCTTACCAGGCAACTCTGTAACCTCAAATGATTTTGCCATTGTCTGAAGGGGGGAAAAAATAATACTTCAGTTAATAAGATATGAAAGATGCTGCAGAAAACTGTTAAACTATAAACATCAATATATGAGGGTTGGCTCTATGGATTCTTTCAGCGCACACTCTTTTTAAGTGATGTGTTTGCAGTTAATTCAAGTTCGGCAATGCTCTTTTGAATCATTCTAAGCAAAAAATAGTTGACCTGACACTCCAAGATTTTGAAGTGATGTGTTTGCAGTTAATTCAAGTTCGGCAATGCTCTTTTGAATCATTCTAAGCAAAAAATAGTTGACCTGACACTCCAAGATTTTGCAATTATATTTTTGAATTACAGATAAAGTGGAAAATATTACATAATAATGCTCGCTTGTACTTATGAAAATATGAAAATGGTCTCCTAGGAGATTAGCTAACAAAGGGGAACTTACAAAACTGTCATTCAACAGCTCATAAGAAGAGGTTCGATCTGACAAAATCAACTATGAGACAAGCTTTAATTGTGTTTGAGAATAACTTATAACCTCAAAACTACAAAATGCCACCATATGAATTCTTTACAATACAAATTGTCAAATGCCACCTCGTGATTATCATATGAAAAACCATGAAGTTTTAGCTTGTATGCATTAATGATTTCCAGTTAAACAAAATGCCTATATACATTAGCTCCCGCTAAACGCTCGACCAGATATGCAGCTTAACCATTTTTAATAAATATATAGTTAAATATATATTTTTTTCCATTTTTTCACTAGCAAACAGATTTCGTGCTCATTTAAAACTTCTCGTGAGAGATTTTTTATCATTCGTTGATAATAAATGTTTTTTACGAAACTTCTATCATCGCCTTTGATATTAGCCAATTCCTAATAATTGGGATTAAGCTAATAATGATCACAATCTTCACTCATAAAACATTTAACATGATCAAAGTGTAAATCACATCATTTGAAGATGTATCATTGATTAAAATCAAATTTCTTTTGTTCTGTAATATTTTGTACTTTCTCTGTCCACCGTTGTCTTCTTACTAAGAGACAAATTATTTCATAGAACTTCTAGGCAGGTCTTAATAAAACTAGCCTTTATGTCCCACAATAATTTTTTTAAAATCTTCCCGTAGAGAAATCATCTATAAGAAAACTTGCCTTGTTTTAGTACACCAGACAAACTCACCGGAAGAAAATAATCCCAATGAGAATTTTTACATCAATCCAGAGTTACTTGTTACTTGTCAAGAATAATCTTGTTGCATCGTTTGTTATGTGAACATAGAGGTTTCAAAACGTAAAAACATGTTAGTTTGCAAAAACAAACAAGTTCGACCTCAAATATCACTAAAAGAAAAAACAATTTTGCATGTTGATTTTGAATTTCACGGATGATAATTATGCAGCAAAATTAACAAATCTGCAAATTAGAAGCGAAGATAACATTTTAAACACACTTGAAGACATTATTATAGGCCCATTGTGTAAGACCTGTGGTTACTTTCAACGCCATGTCATGTTGTAGTTGTAGACTTATAGTCCACTCAACTAAAATAATTTTATTCCAAATGCAAGATAAATGTAAAACAGAAATACAGAGTGAACACAAGGATGATGAAAAGCTTGCCTGTGATTGATAGTCCCAGATGCATACACTGCCAGAGTAAAGGCTTGCAAGGATCCTGCATCAGAAAATTTGATCCAGTAGGGGGAAGAAATAAATTTATGGCGTAAAAATGGTGGTGTCAGAAATTTTGAAAGACAATTATCTCACTACAGATAATCACCTAAGTAGTACCAAAGGCAACAAGCTTACCATGGTTCCGTTGGGTGCAGATCCACTGATT